GACAGCTATGTGAATTGGGTGAAGGTTTGCTTACAGAACCAATGGTCAGTTTTACATTCAACAGTTGATAGACATTTTGTTTCATGTCACTGATTACAATCCCCTCAATGTAATATCACTTATCCACTTCCTCTCTATTTCCTGTTCCTATTCCTCCTCCTTTCCTAACCCTTCCAAGCTTTGTCCTTGGGTAAATGCTGCCCTTTTAATCTCAAATGGCTGATGATTCTAAAGCGTGTGAACCTCACTGGTGTCATGGTTCCCCTAGTTTAACTGAAAATGGACCTATAGGGGAGAGTTCACTTCCAGACGTGAAGGGTGACTAAGGGTCATAGTCTTAGGGGTTTCACCAGTCTCCAGGAAGCCCGGGCTCTTTAATGCTTTTGATTCTGCCCCACATTGTCTCCCACTCTACCCAGGACCTTCTAATTTGATCCAGTCAGAGCAGGTGGTAGCAGTAACCATCTAACTCTTCTGGTCTCAGGTCATGGTCACTGATGGTCGTGTGGTCCATCATCCACTGGACTTATCATTTCCATGTGTCTTTGACTGTCATCCCTCTTCTTTCCTCTAGACAAGGAGAGACCAATAGTTGCACTTAGATGGCTGCTTACGAGCTTTTAAGATTCAGTCACTACTCACCAAAGCAGGATGTCGAGCATTGTCTTTGTGCTCTATGTTATCCCAAGTGACACTGGTATCCCCCAAGCCTATGGCTCTGAGCCCTCAGGCCCAGCAACTCAGTCCCTCAAGGTGTTTGATAACATCAAAGAAGTTTTTATATCCTTGCCCTCCACCATGTGGTTGTTGTTGTTAAGAGCTGTTGAGTCGGTTCTGACTCACAGTGACCCTGTAAAGGGTTTATGAGGAGTGGCTGATTAATTTGAACCACTGACTTTGCAGGTCAAACAGATCTTACAATCCAGTGCTTACCCTACAGTATCACACCAGGACTCCATGCTCCACCTATATTCACAGATACATTTTCAGCAAAGATTAACACCCATGTACAAATATCCTGTGTAAAAGGTCTACAGAAATTGTGGGTACACTTCCACTCTCCCTCCCACACTTGTTCAGCCTGCATATCTAGCCATGCATCGACTTGTAAACCACCATCACCGCAGGTCTGTGTATATAACTACATAACCCTATTTACCTCTGCTGTATAAGGCTCTTCCCACCGCCAACAGCACGACACCATCCAGGCAGCTAAGGATGCTGACGGGCAGTCTTTCTGGTGAAAAGTGTCTGGGCAGGGACTGATACCATACTCCATAAACCCTTAGTACTTACACTAATTCTGTGCTTCCTAAATGGCGTGTCAGAACCTATCAGTCCTGTTTTGTTTTTTTTGACAAGTGTTCCCCAAACTCTGACTCAGGTGGCAGAGAAAATATCGTTTGCTTTTACCACTGGAAAAAAGTAACTGAATGAAAATCAGGCCAGTCCTAAAAGTGCTATATACTTATACAAAATATGCACTGTCTTTCCAGCTACAACCTATCTGTATCCACATGATTGAATGTGCTACATCAACTAGAATGCACACACACACACTTACTGTGTGTCTAGGGCAGTGCCTGGCACAGTGGACAATAACAAGGAATTGTGGGATGACTGTCAGAATGAAGACAGAGCCCCCTTACAGTGTGTCTAGGGCAGGGCCTAGAGTCCTGGCGTGGTACTGCAGGTTAATGCGCTGTGCTGTAAAGTCGGTTTGAACTGCAAGGTCGGTGATTCACATTCACCAGCTGCTCATAGGAAACCCTACATAGGGTCGCTATGGGTCAGAACCGACTTGACGGCACTTTTAACAACAATAACAACAACAGGGCAGTGCCTGGCACGTGGCAGACAGTAAGAAGTACCACTGGATGACTGTCAGACTGGAGACACAGCAGTAAACAAGTCATTCAAGGCCAGTCCTCCTGGACCCCACATAGGCTCTCAAGTATGACTGAGTCCACTGATCAATGATGACAAATGTGCCAAGTGTCACTGAAGGAGAAACAAAGGATGGCAGTGGTATTTGGAAACATCATCTACTCTACTGGTCATCAGGCAACATTCAAGTTACTGTTAATTACCAGGCAGAATCAGAGATGAAAAAGGAACCAGTCTACAAAATTATTTTTTTAAAAAAAGATGGGCTTACTGGTCCAAAAGAGACTGAAGAACCCTGAGACTATGGCCCTCAATCACCTGTCAGGTAGGGAAAGGAACTGACTCTCGTGGCCCATTTTTCTACCAAGAAGTAGATAGAATCTAGGGGCAGCAAGAATACTAGTAAGGTCTGCTCACCATGGAATGGTTAATCACTCAAAATCAAAAAGGTAACATTTACTTAAGGACAAAGATGAGCAGGGATGAGAAGGTGGGTGGAATGTTAATAGGAACTCCAGGGAGGAAGCAGGATAACTGTTGTTGTAGGGAGGGGATTGCAATCATTGTGATGAAACTAAGTATGATATGTTGAAAGTAAAACTGGTGATCTTATCTGTAAACCTTCACTCAATTCACAGTAAGTTTGTTTTTTTAAAAAAAAAATAGAGCCAGCCTAGAGTAGAATTGTCTAGTTGTCACCGCAGAGAAAGCAGTAAATGCAGAGGGCCTGTAGCAAAAGTGTGCATGGTCCATGAATATGGCTGAAGCACGTAATGAGGCTGAAGAGGTACCTGGGCAGATGAGGCATGGTCTTATAAGCCACACCATCCTAAGGACAGGAAACACATGTCAATTAAGAATGATGGGAAATTTTAGATAATTTTTTGTAGGGGAGTAATATGATTCTATCTTTTTAAGAGAACATTCAGACTACATGTGGCGGATGGACTGGAGAGATCAAAGGTGTACAAGGAAACTAGTAAGAGGCTACTGCAGCAGTACAGTCAAAAGATGCAAGTTAGTAATTTAGGATACGCTTGTGTGCAGTGGAGGAGAGATGTGAAGAAGTTCAAGAAATATTTATGAAGTAGAGTCACTAAGACTTGTTAACTAAACTTCCTGCTTGTGACACGTAGAGGATGATGGATGAAGAAGCAAGACTGCCAGGGTTTTCACCTGAGTCCCCAGCACCCTTTTCAGATACTAGAGAAGGAGCAGGCTGGGAATGTGTGTGGGAGGTATATGTGGGGTTGTCTTGGACATGCTGAGGTGAGGCACATGGGAAAAATTCTAAGGGCGACACCTGGTAGGCCCAAAAATGAGAGAGGTTCAGTCTAGAGACAAAAAGAGGAATTAACATAGTAACCATTAACTTCTCTCAGAATAAGGCAGGGCAGCACAGAATAGAACCCTGAATGAAGTACACAGACTTTTCAGGAGAAACAGGCAAAAAAGATTGAGAAGTGACAGCCTATCAGAGACAGGCTGTGAGAAAACATGCTACCTTAACATAAGATTATGGAGGTTTGTCTTCTGCAGCCCCTTTTATTTATAATGCTGAAAGCATTATTCTAATAATGTAACAGCTGGACCAATCTTAACTGTTGTTTGTTGTTGAGCACCGTTGAGTCAGTTCCGACTAACGACCCTGTATAGGGTTTCCGAAGAGCAGCTGGTAGATTTGAATCTGGGGTTAAGTCCAGTACTGATCCAACAGTGCCACACAAGAGTCCCAATCTCAACTAACAAAGTAAAAAAATTGCCCGGCACACACTGGCTGGCCCAGGGAGTTATGAGTTATCCAAGGATTCTCCACCAGAAGGAAAATTGGCATTGACCATCGAATATCTTCATTCTATCTCCTTTCAGGGATCATCAATGACTGCTCTATACCAGATGGGCTGATCAGAAGAGCAAGGCATTTTCACGTGAACTGAAATAGTAGCTCAAAAGCAGGATTTATCTATATTTTAATATGATAAATAAAGCAAATTATCCTACACAAATTACTATATGCCATAAAATAATATACAATTGCATTACTTAATGATACAAGGGGTCTTCAAAAAGTTCATGAAAAAAATGGAATTTTTCCATGAGGTTTTTAAAGCCCCCCAAATATAGTCCCTACCTCTCAATGAAATGTTAACGACCATCCTTAGCACAGAACCGACGCGACGGCATCCTTAGCATGGCTTGGGAGAATAAGTCAAAGAGAAGCCGATTCAATCCGTTTTTCAGTAAAAGCACTATACTTGCGCTCAGAAAAACAACGTTTGTCCTCTAGATTTTAAAATTACTGTAGTGACATCAATGTTCCTTGTTTTAGTCAAGTACCTGAAGGCAGTTTCTGCAAAGTCTCCCTGACACATCCACCCAAGGTTACTTTGGGGGACAAAATCCACTGCCCCCCAAGCAGACACTAAATTTACCTTTTCTCCCTGGAGCCTCAAATGATTAGAACACCCACCACCTCCAGTGAATGGACCTTCACCATGCCCCCTTATATGATATGAAGTCCTAGTTGACGAAGTAGGTTGGGCTCTGGACTGCTAACCACAAGGTCACTGGTTCAAACTCATCGGCTGCTCCTTGGAAACCCTATACAGGGTCGCACGCTATGAGGCAGAACCGACCTAATGGCACTGAACACCTTGTATTACAGTTATTTTCAATATATCTTTCTTCTCCATGAAACTGTTAGTTCCGTGACAGAAGGAAATCTGGATCTGAATTTGGTTCTCTTGGCACCATGGAGCCTAGCATTAGTTTGGGCTGCAATTGCGCCCAGTCAATAAAAAAGGATCCTGAAAGACGTGTCACACACACACACCCGTTTTGGGCATCGGAGGACAAACAATGAATGCTTGAAAATAAAGTCACCTATGTAACAAGTCAACATTAATCGTCCCATTCGGGGGGGGGGGAGAGAAGGGAAGGGAAAGGTCACTACTGGGGCGGACAGGGAAGGATAAATCAGACCTAGCACCAAGCTTTAAGCGGCTCGAAAGTCAGCGAGCGCGCCAGACACAGACCAGCTCGAGAGGAGCTCGGGCCGCCCAAGGATGGGAGCGCACGTTCTCCCGCCGCCCTCGCCTCCCCGCGGCACTCACTCTTGTCCAGAGGCCGGGTGAGCTCGGCCCCAACGTCCCCGTCCGCACTGGGGCCCTGAGGTTTCACCGTCAGAGGCACAAATAAGGACGTGTTCGGGGCTTTGGAGCCACCGGAGGTAGAGGAAGAAGCGGCGGCAACGGCAGGAACGCGCCCCAGAGCCCCAGGGAAGGGTGCAAAGTGGGCGCGCAGGGCAGAGCAGACAGCTGCCCGGTGACCAGCCTGACGCCCCGCCGGGAGCCGAGCCCACAACAGGGAACACCGGGGTAAAGACATGGAGGCCGCAGGCTCTAAAGGGAATACGGAGCAGCCGGGGGACACGGCGTGGGACAGTGACGCACACTGCAGGAGCCTGCTGTTTGGAAAGCCCCAAACCGAACAGGAAAGCTGCCCGAAGAGACGCCTTACCATTACAGAAAAAGTAACGTCTTGCGACTGGTCGTAAAGGAAGGGAAACCTTATAAATAAAAATCAGTAAAGATAAATTCTTAGTCTCTCTTTCTTGTAGAGTGAGACCAGTTTTCTCTAAAGAAGAAAGTAATCAGGCACCTGTGGGGATGTCACAGATGAGTACAGGGACCTGCAAGCTGTGTCACATGACTAGGGGCCCTAGTGTCCAGAGAAGCAAGTGGGCTGTGCGGGGATCTCTGTCTGCTGGGCTGCCGAAAAACCACCTGTTGTACCTTGGGTGTGAGTGTGACTGGGGACTCGAACGCTAAGGAGCATGTCCCCAAAGCTTCTTAGATTATCGGACAAAAATGTGACTCTCTGCCCCCGCAAAGATTAATAGTCTGGGAAACCATAAGGAACAGTTCTACTCTCAGTTTTTTTTTTTTTTATTTCCCAGTAAGAGACCTGGTGTGGCGCTGTAGGATGACTGCTAACTACCTTTGTGGTAAGGAATCGTTAACTTGTAGTAGAGTCGGAACCGACTCGATGGCACTTAACAAATTTCCCGAAAGAGTGAAATAGAAGAACATAACGTGTGGTCTGCCCGTCACGAGGGTTGTCAAGGACTACTGTACCCCAAGTTCTTAAGTAGACATAATGACGTGTAGAATGTGAGTAGTCTGCGCACCTCTTGCTAACAGCTATTATGCCGTAGCCTCAAGGCAACAAATGTATGCTTTGTATACCAGACAGTTAAGTTTGATTTGCGGTAGTTGAATGCGATACCCTCTAATGAGGTTGCAAGATAACTCAAAATATGCTCTTAGGCTTTTCACATCTTTTCCCCCATTGTTCTTAAAATGCATGTTGTTGTGAAGTGCCATCGAGTCGGTTCCGGCCCATAGCGATCCTGTAGAGCGTTTGCGAGGAGTTTGAACCGTCAACCTGAGGTTCAAACCCACTTTGCAGTCCAGCGCATTAACCCAGAGCAACACAACAGGACTCCTTAGATCCTTGCAAAACGAATGAAATTGTTACATAGTAATATTGTGTCACATAAAATAGCAATTTGCTAGATGCTTATGATTCACCGAATACTTTCTAAATTTCTGGAATACAAGTTAACGATTCCTTACTCTCAAAAGAGCTTCTGATCTGGTTTGGGGGATAAAAACAGGGCCAATAAACAATGTGTGTGGGCCCATAAATCAGTGCTAACAGTGACCTTCTAGAACAGTGGAATTGCTCTACAGATTTCCTAGCCCACTAGGTGCTCCTTAGAGATCCTATACAGAGTCTGTGTGAGTCAGAATGGACTTAACAGTCTTTAGGGGGAGCCCTGGTGTGGCACTGTAGGAAAAGCAGTGGACTGCTTAATCGCAAAGTGCATTATCCTGCAGTGCGGCACCAGGATTCCAGCCGTTAAACTAGGAGGTCTCATTAGATTGGGAAAATGAGTAACAAACCAAATATTTACTATGCAACTAAGACATGTGCCTTTTAACCTTTTATTTAATATTCCTGACTATTTAAAGGTGTTGTCACCAGGAGTCCTGGTGTGGTATTGCAAGTAATGTACTGGACTGCAAGGTCAGTTTGCATCTCAAAGTTGGAAATTCAAGCTTACCAGCTGCTCCTTGGAAACCCTATATAGGGTCACTATGAGTTAGAACTGACTTGGTAGCACTTACCAACACCAGGTTCATACATAGGATTCAGTGAGGTGAAGTAACTTGTCCCAGTATTATGTGGTGGTGGTGGTGAAGTGCTGGTGAGCCGGTTCCAACTCATAGCTAAGTTATACATTTTTATAGGAGCAGAAAGCCTCATCTTTGTTCTGCAGAGTAGCTTGTGGGCTCAAACCGCTAACCTTATGGTTACCAGTCCAGTATTTATCCTACAGCACTACTGCATATATAGATAGTGTGGAGACAGATATAAATCTTGAGTCTTCTGATTTCAGAGCAAGTTATTCTTCTCACCACAAAATGTTAACATTGGCAAGCAGTCCAGGGAGGAAGTTAATGTATATACTCTTGGATGATTACTGCGTTTCTATATAAGGAGCCATGGAATCCTGGTGTGGCACTGTGGGCTAATGCGTCAGACTGCAAAGCCGTTTGAACTGCAACGCCAGTGGTTCAAGTTCACCAGCTGCTCCTTGGAAACCCTATACAGGGTCCCTATGGGTCGGAATCGACTTGACGGCACTTAACAACAACAACATGGAGTTCTGTTTGGCTGCTGACTACAAGGTCGGCAATTCAAATCCAGCAGCTGCTCCACATGAGAAAGATGAAGCTTTCTGCTCTGATAAAGATTTACAACCTCAGAAACCCTATACAGTCAGTCATAAGAAACCCTATGAGTCAGAACCAGCTCAACTGTACATGACAACATATATATGTACACACATTAAAATCATCAGCGCCTTGGGGCTAGAATCAGCAGTTAATTTATTTTATGAACATAACCCAGGCCTAGTATAGTTTCACAGGGGGAAAGCATTCTAAAAAAAACTGTTTGAACTTTGCACCTCCTTGAAGGTATACATGTAGGGTTTCTTCTCCATTCATTAAAATTAAATACTATTAACATTGGAATGGGAAAATTCAACATGAAATTTTTGCTTTTATAAGATTGAAAGCTGCCATCTTAAAAGGTTTATGGAACCGTGGTGGCATAGTGGGTTGTTGGCCTGCTAACCAAAAGGCTGGCAGTTCGAACTGCCAGCAAGATGGTAGTCTACACAGACCCTTTAAAACACAGATACGGGAGACTGAATGAAGCCAACAAATGATAATCCTGGAACCTTGAGCTTCAGAGGAAAGGTTAGAGAAGTGAATTGATTGCCTAGTGGGAGGAGAAGCTGAGCAGGAACAGCAAAGGAAGGAACCTAACTGGTAAGCAGACTGCCAGCCAGATGCAGCACCTCTTCAACTTTTGTGAGCAGCATGCGAGAGGCAATGGAAACGGCGTGCTGCCTGCTTGTTCCCCACTCCAGCTCTGGAGACGAGATGGGAGGCATATCCCCATCCGCTTCTGTCCCCAGCACAGAGCCAGCTCTCCAGGAGTTCAGAGCCACACTAGTGTAAGGCGGATGCCAGCTGCACCCCTTTGGCTCCTGGATTCATGTGGACTCTGCTCCAGACCTGCAGAACCCACAGAGCCTCCAGGTCAGATTTAGACTGTCAGGAAACCTCATAGTCAGCCACCCTGAGCCTAGCTGGCTCTGACAGACTGAAATCAACAAAGTTGAGGGCCTCCACGAACAACTTCCAGATTGGATACAATGAACATAGACAATGACGAGGACTGTAGGAACTCCATCTTAGGCTGGGAACTCATCCTTCCCAACCCTTGCCACCCACCTGGGTCCAACAACCATGTGGGTTTTTTACCCCTTTGTTTCATTAGTTTTTTGTTTATTCCTTCTTTCCTTTCCCTTGATTTTTATTATTTATCTCTCTGAATTTCTTCTGTTCCCCATTCCCACCATCTACTTTTTGATTTTTCTTTACTACTTTCTCTTTTAATTTTTCTTCTCTGTTTCATTTTAGTGGAGGTTTTTTCTTATTATTTTCTCTGTCATTTTCCCCCTGTACTGCTCTATTTTCCTTTCCTTTATTTAGTTAAATCTTTTTTTCCTTGATGCTACCTGATTTTGTTTTTTTTTTCCTTTATTAAGTTGGTTTTGCTGTTGTTTGCTTGTTTTGTTTTCTTGCATGTGTATATTTTCTTCTTGACTCACCTGGCAGGAGACAGCAGCCATGCCCACACAGCCCAGCCACAACTGTACCCTCTGCAGCTCCACCCACTGGGCAAGAGCCAGTACAAGCTCCTATAGCATGTGATCAGCAATAGACGGCAGGCAACACCAGCCAAACCCACCCTAAACTAACCGGCACAACCTTGCACGTGCTTCCATTCTGTAATCACATCTACAAAGAAACAGGTGTTGAGAGTGTAACAATATACTAACATACAATTATCCATTAGATCTAAATACAATGACATCACAATGTCTAGAAGACAACAAAGGAACAGAAAGTAGCTTAAATGACCAAGTTGCAGAGCCAGAAAAGTCTAAGGAAGAAAAGGAAATAGAACTACTTGAGAAAGAATTCAAAAGAATCATATTTGGATACCTTCAAAAGATTAACAGAAAGATCGAGGAAACTAAGACGAACACAGAAAAAAAACTTAAGAATAATTCAGGAAAAAAATTCAAGAACACAAAATGTAGAATTTTAAATAATACAAGATTTCAGAAATTAGGGACAACACAAAGGGCAAAGGAGTAGATCTGAATCGATGGAAAACCTAATTAGCTAAATCTCTCAATACTAGAAGGCTAGAACAATCAGAAAAAAGAAAAGCTGGAAGCCTGAGATCTTTGTGGAACACCATGAAGAGGAATAACTTATTATGTTGTCTCATGAAGGTTATTATAACTTGTTTTAAGTATCGAGTCGGTTCTGACTCATAGCAATCCTGCATAGGGTTTCCGAGGAGCAGCTGGTGGGTTTAAACTGCTGACCTTGCAGTTCAAACTGACCTTGTGGTGCATTGCCACACCAGGACTCCAAAGTGTCATTGGTGGTGTGCCATGGAGTCGGTTCCGAGTCATAGTGACCTGTACAGGGTTTCCGAGGCTATAAATCTTTACAGAAGCAGAAAGCCTCATCTTTCTCCCGCAGAATAGCTGGTAGTTTTGAACTGCTGACCTTGAGGTTAGCAGCCCAATTTGTAACCAGCTACCAGAGCTCCTTCCAGTGTTGTTAAGTACCGTGGAGTTGCTTCCAACTCATAGCAACCCTGCTGGTAGTTTCGAACTGTTGACCTTGAGGTTCACAGCCCAATACGTAACCACATTCTTTAGAGTGTCATTGTTGTGAAGTGCCTTTGAGTCGGTTCCAACCCATATTGACCCTGTAT